AGCCATGTAAATGTAAATGAAGCCGCGATCATTTAAATCGCGGCTTCATTTCCCTTTGCTGATCTGTCTAATCTACATGCCTCTGCCGACAGAGGCATGTAGTCTAGACACAGCCAGAGTGTCCAGGGACTTCCAACAGTCTCTTATTAGAAGGGATATGCCTTAGTTTTTCTCACTGTATAACAAGAACCAGGAGTTGCTAAGAGTGACAGTAAGAAATACCCCAGGCAACCGTTATCACATGGTACCAGAGCAGCAAACTGTTACTCCTGCTACTACTAATACTAAAGGAGGAGAGATGTGGGAGGGAGGCTGCTAAGAAAACAGCCCCTTATTTTTGAAATAAAATGTTGGCAGCCAGGGCCAGATTAAGGGAGGGGGGCTAGCCGGGCAGCTGCCCAGGGCACCAACCTATGGGGGGCACCCGATTGCATCTGTAAGGGGCACCGTGTGCCCGGGGCTGGGGCCGTGCATGCGCTGCATGCCTGGGGGTGGAGCTGTGCATGCGCTGCGTGCCTGCTGCCTGGAGCACAAGAATGGCTTGAGCTGGCAGAGTTGGCAGCCCTGTGACAGCGCGTCTCTTTTCTCTTCCCCCTTTCAGAAGCTGAGAAGGAGACCATGAAAACAGGTACTTGGCTTTCATACTATACAGAGAGAAAAATCATCACAAGCACCGCATGGATTTCACTCATTTTCATGGTCATCTCCCCATAACCTGGAAACAAACATTGCCCAGTTTGCAGCTCAGATTTCACTGTTATCCTGAACCAGGGAGAGTGAATGTAATAAATAGCAGGGTAGGTGGATATTGCCCTTCAGTCAGATTGCAGGGTTACATATAGCAACATACACCACAGTGCTGCACTGTAACAATGCCATGGGGACGCTGTGGGTGAAAACTACAATGTTCCAGGTTTGTGTTGATATTGTCCTGTCAGTGAGAATGAGGTGTTGTTTAGTGCACACCAGCAGTGTCCACTGGGTGCAGTTATTGTGTGGCATTTTGGTGTGGTCTGCAAATCACACTTCTGTAGGCTGAATTATGGGGCTGTGTAGACTGGCCTGAGTCAGGGGCTGTGCAAATGTCCTCCCTGCAGGTGTTTGCCCACAGCTCAGTTCTGATGCCCAAAATTCCTGCTTTCCCATTGCTGGGCTTCCTGCCTGCACACAGCTCTGCCACAGCTCTTCAGTCCTCTAGCACTGTGGCTACATCTACACTGCAGCCTTCTTGCACAAGAACTGTTTTGCAGAAGAGTTCTTGTGCAAAAGGTCTTCCACAAGAGCGCGTCCACACTGCCATGTGCTTTTGCACAAGAGCGTCCATGGCAGTGTGGACGCTCTCTTGTGCAAGAAAGCTCTGATGGCCATTTTAACCATAGGGGCTTCTTGCACAAGAAATCCATGTTGCCTGTCCACACTGCCCTCTTGTGAAAGAGCTGTTGCGCAAGAGAGCTCATTCCTCGTGGGGAGAGGAATAACTCTTGCTCAAGAAGCCCTCTTTTCCAACACTATACTGTAAATTTACTTGCGCAAGAACACGCATGCAGTGTAGACAGCCGGCAAGTTTTTGAGCAAGAACGCCTGTTCTTGTGCAAGAAGCATGTAATGTAGACACTGCGACAGTGTCTCTGAATTCTCACCCCAACCTCCCAGCTCTCTCAGCCCTGGGTTCCCCAGGCCTGTCCTCCAGGGGCGGTGGGTGTGCTAGGAGAGGGAAAGCACTGCCTTCCTAAACCTCCGCATGCAGTGTAGACAGCCGGCAAGTTTTTGAGCAAGAACGCCTGTTCTTGTGCAAGAAGCATGTAATGTAGACACTGCGACAGTGTCTCTGAATTCTCACCCCAACCTCCCAGCTCTCTCAGCCCTGGGTTCCCCAGGCCTGTCCTCCAGGGGCGGTGGGTGTGCTAGGAGAGGGAAAGCACTGCCTTCCTAAACCTCCAGGCATAGCTCTCTTACTGTTGTTTTTTTAGGGGTGGAATGTTGTTGCCCCCAGCACTCTCCCTGCCCATGCTCTGGGACCCAGGAGGCTGGAGCCATGTGCTGCCCTACCTCTCTGTGGTGAAGGGCAGTGGGGCCTGGGAATATGGGGTTGGGTTGGGGATGGTGTTGGGGGGGCTTGCCTTCCCTACCCCTGCCTTTTCTCACCACTCACGCTGTCTTTATCCCCCGTCCCTGAGGTTATGTCTACACTGCGTCTATTTTTCAGAAAAAGATACGCAATTTACATACCTGTTTTGGATTCTTTTTTCGGAAGAAGCTTTTCCAACATTTGGTCCATCTACATGGGGACAAATGTTGGCAAAACCTCCTCTTTCGGAAGATCCCTT